GGAGGTGTTATGAGGATGTTTTGTTTGTGGTAGAGGAGGCAGGCTAGAGATTTGTGAAGAGCGTCAGAAGAAGGACACTTTACTTCTTTAGTTGAAGATAAGCTGAACACAATGAGAAGTAAAAAGAGTATTTTCTTGAAGCAATATGCTAATGATTTGGACAGTATTTCTATGAGTCAACTTAAGGCGGTTATCAAATGGCTGGAGTTGATGTTGAATCATTCTTGTGTTCCAATTTCTTGGTATACTCATCACCAGAAAGTTGGTGCCAGCCTTGTAACAGAGGGACACCTGGTACCTCTTTAAAAATATAGATTTTGAGAAGTGCTTTTAACAAAACACGGGCTACTGCGATATCACCACAAGCTCTTTGAGATACTTACTGAGAATTGCGGTGATCATTTTTATTTTAAAAATGCTTTGGAATGGATTTCCAGATTTGCTAACAAATCAAATAAAGAACAGAAGGATCCAGTTGTACAATCGTTACCCGATTATGATAGACCTGTCCGTAAAAGATTTACTTCATCTTGACTGGGATCCATTAATTATGCTTTTAGCACAGTCAGAAAAAGTTTGCAACCTTTATCAATTCTTTGATGCAATTTTTCTTTGGCTTCATATTGCAAGGAATGATATTAATACTTCTAGTGTCCCTAGATTAGAGTTTACTGAAGATCATATCAAAGATATCGTTGATATCAAAGATGATCGATGTTGGGATAGAATCTCCTCTAAGTACCTTGAAGATATATTAAATTGCTCCAAAATAGGTACTGACATACTGCAAAAATCATTTATTGACTCTGATGAACTAATATGTGATGATGGTATCTTGTTTAGCAGTGAAGATGAGTATACTATTGACAACATTTTTACAGAAGATCTGAAAATAACACTTGTGTCAGACGTTAAAATATCTGCTTGTACTGAAGAAACAAAATGTGCAATAATGCTACAAAGCACAAGGGTAAACGAAACAAAACCATTCTCTCTTACGATTGCACACGATGTACAGATAGGATGTGAAGGTGAAAATGTTCATTTCCACTATCCTTCAGCAGCAACTCAGATTATTAGTCTATTGGTAAGATTTAATTCTGAAGATGTTAACATACTTTTGCCAGTTCCTTTCAACTGCCCTCCTCATTGGGTTAGTTCTGAGGAATTTTGGGGTTGGGGGTTTCTATCATTTATTAAACACAATAAATTCAAATCTGGTATAGAAAAATTTGCATTTGGATATGGACGCTCAAAAAATACAAAAGTGAAGTTTCTAGCATTTTTTGCTGAATAGGTCTTACATGAAGCCTCTCCGCATATGATTCTGGTTTTAGTTTCTTGTATCTAGATTCTTAATGTCAAAAAAAAATATTGCTAGAGTAAGTTCAAATGAATGAATTTATGAATTTGATGTTACGAATTTGATGTTAACAATTTGGTGTTATGGATTTGATTTATAATGTTAGAAAGATAATTTGATGATTTCACATATTTAGTACCTTATTAATCTTTTCATTATGCATGTCGGTTGATTGGGCAAAGTATGTTGAACATGACCTGACCATATCAATGCGGTTAAAATTAATGAAATTTTCGATAATTTAACATTTATCTTAACAGTTGAACATTGTAATGAATTCTATTGATGATATTCTTTTAAGGTCGATAATATTCTGTAGAATGGCTCCAGAAGTGGTTGTACCAAGCAAATTTATTTTGGGAAGCACCACCTGAAGTCTCCGCTCACACAGTAACTGGAAACAGTTGTTGATGAAGGAGAATAAAGCGAGCTAACTCCATGTTACTGTCTCTAAACAGCCCGGTTATAGATGATCTGATCTCTAGACTTGACATTACTTCTCTGGACGTGAGGATTTGAGCCCCTGCTGTGGGGTGTTTGATGAATCTATGTTACAGTGGAGGAACTGGAGAAGAGTGATAAGAGTAAATTTAGAGTCCTAATAGATGGGACATTGTTTTCAATGTGAGCTGGTTTACAGGAGGGATGCTTGGGAGTACTTTACGGAGCATGTTGGAATATGTTGATGGGAGGTGTTATGAGGATGGTTTTTGTTTTGTGGTAGAGAGGGCTAGGTTTGTTAAATGACAGTCAGAAGAAGGACAACTTTACTTTGTTTAGTTTGAATGATAAGCTGAACACCCGATGAGAAATAGGAAGAGTATCTTCTTGAAACAGTATGCTAATGATTTTGGACAGAATTTCTATGAGTCTTCAACTTAGATGGTTATAAATTAGCTGGATCTGATTGTTGGAATTCTTGTGGCCCATTCTTGTAACACACTTCAGAATGGTTGGTTTGCCTGCTCTTATCTGAATCATCGAGGTTACCTGTTCAGAAATATAGATTTTTTATGCAGCGTTTTAACCAGCGAAAGGTTACCTTTAATATTCCAACAAGGCTCTTTGAAATTCCTAGCCGATAATTGCATTGATGATTTTAAGTCTGCAGTGAGTTTGATATACTTGCTTTGCCAAAAAAAACCATGGAAAATAAAAATGATTTCGTAGTTTATCAATATCCAATTATGTAGATCTGCCCATAGAAGACTTCCTTCAGCTTGACTGGGATTCTTTAGCAATTTCTTGTCATTGTCAAAGAACATTTGCAACCATTATCAGTGCTTTGATGCATATTCTTGTGGTTACATATTTAACGGGGACCGCATCAGCGATTCCCAGGCGTGGATCTTTTCCATTGATCATGTGAGGAAATTCTTGATATTAAACAGGATCGTGTTGGGATAGAATTCAAAAAAGTAACCTAGAGGCTATATCATGGAATACCACTGGTAGGTTACTATTCACGCTCGTGACTTGCTTGTTGACTCTGATGATCTATCATGTACTGTGGTATTTTTATTTAGGAGTGGGAAAGTAGGAGTGAGCAAAACCTGACCATTGGAGAGAATCTTTTCGGAAGATTATATGAAGATACACTTGTGTCGGATTATAAAATCCCTTCTTGGTGTAAAGGATGGGAAAATGCGCGTTATGTTACAGGTACCGTTCCCAGAGTCTAGATAATGGTTGTTGTTAAATTTTTCCCTGGAAAATAGAGATGTGAAGGATGAAATGAGGGAGGTGAAGATGTTCATTATCATAATGTTTCTAGGGGGAACAGAAATCGTTGTTTATTAAAAGGGAATGAATTCTGATGATGATCGAAAGTTACTCCGATTCCATTCATGTTGCTCCTTGTTGCACTATGTCTAGTGGATTATGGTATTGGGGATTTCACAGACATCAAAGTGAGGATCTGATCTAGACTGGACATTACTTCTCTGGACGTGCAGGACTTTGGAGCCCCTGCTGTGGGGTGTTTTGTTGAATCTATGTACAGTGGAGAACTGGAGAAGTGTGATAAGAGTAACTTTAGAGACCTGAATAAGATGGGACATGTTTTCAATGTGAGCTGGTTTACAGAGAGATGTTTGGAGTACTTTACGGAGCATGTTGATATGTTGACTGGGAGGTGTTATGAGGATGTTTTGTTTGTGGTAGAGGAGGCTAGGTTTGTTGAAGAGAGTCAGAAGAAGGACAACTTTACTTCTTTAGTTGAAGATAAGCTAAATACTATGAGAAGTAAAAAGAGTATTTTCCTGAAGCATTATGCTAAAGAGTTGGACAGTATTTCTATGAGTCAACTCAAGATGGTTATCAAATTAGCTGGATCTGATGTTGGAATTCTTGTGCCAATTCTTGTAACCCACCTTCAGAATGTTGGTGCCAGCTCTTTATCTGAATCATCTAGGTACCTGTTCAGAAATATAGATTTTATGCAGAGTTTTACCAGCGAAAGGTACTTTAATATTACCAACAAGCTCTTTGAAATTCTAGCCGATAATTGCAATGATGATTTTAAGTCTGCAGTGAGTTGGATATCTTGCTTTGCCAAAAAAACCAATGAAAATAAAAATGATTTAGTTGTTTATCAATATCCAATTATGGTAGATCTGCCCATAGAAGACTTCCTTCAGCTTGACTGGGATTCTTTAGTCCATTTCTTGTCATTGTCAGAGAACATTTGCAACCTTTATCAGTGCTTTGATGCAATATTCTTGTGGTTACATATTTTAAACGGGGACCGCATCAGCGTTCCCAGGGTGGACTTTTCCATTGATCATGTGAAGGAAATCCTTGATATTAAACAGGATCGGTGTTGGGATAGAATGTCAAAGAAGTACCTAGAGGCTATTTCATGGAAAACCACTACAGGAACTATCACGTTTGTTGACTTGCTTGTTGACTCTGATGATCTATCATGTACTGACGGTATTTTATTTAGAAGTGGGAGTAGTGAGCAAAAACTTACCATTGAGAGAATCTTTTCGGAAGATATGAAGATAACACTTGTGTCGGATAATAAAATCCCTTCTTGTGTAAAGGATGGAAAATGTGCGTTAATGTTACAGAGTAAGTTTACAAAGAGTCTAGATAATGGTTTTGTTAATTTTTCCCTGAAAATAGAAGATGTGAAGGATGAAAATGAGGCAGGTGACGATGTTCATTATCATAATGTTCTAGGGGGAACAGAAATCGTTGGTTTATTAATGGGAATGAATTCTGATGATGAATCGAAAGTTACTCCGATTCCATTCAATGTTGCTCCTTGTTGCACTATGTCTAGTGGATTATGGTATTGGGGATTTCACAGACATCAAAGTGAAGATCAACCTACATGCAGATTTTGTTATTCGTACAAGAAAAATACTGAAATCACCTTCATTGTATGTTTAAATTACTAATAATGTTAGAAGATAATAATTGATGATTTTACATACCTATTATGTTGTACCTTATTAATCGTTTCATTATGCACGTCAATTGACACGTATGTGACATGGCCTGCCCATGTCTCTATTTAAATGCAATCAAATTAATGGTATTTTCGATAGTTTAATATTATATATTATATATTTAATATATCTTAAATGTTGAACATTGTAGTGAATAATATTGATAATATCCTTTTTAGGTTGAAAGAATTCTCTAAAATGGCTCCAGAAGTGGTGGTACCAGCAAATTTTGGGAAGCACCACCTGAAGTCTCGCTCACACAGTAACCTGGAACTGTTGTGTAATGAAGGAGAGATAAAGCGAGCTAATTCAATGATACTGTCTCTAAACAGCTCTGTTATAGATGATCTGATCTCTAGACTTGACATTACTTCTCTGGACGTGCAGGACTTTGGAGCCGGTGCTGTGGGGTGTTTTGTTGAATCTATGTACAGTGGAGAACTGGAGAAGTGTGATAAGAGTAACTTTAGAGACCTGAATAAGATGGGACATGTTTTCAATGTGAGCTGGTTTACAGAGAGATGTTTGGAGTACTTTACGGAGCATGTTGATATGTTGACTGGGAGGTGTTATGAGGATGTTTTGTTTGTGGTAGAGGAGGCTAGGTTTGTTGAAGAGAGTCAGAAGAAGAACAACTTTACTTCTTTAGTTGAAGATAAGCTGAACACGATGAGAAATAGGAAGAGTATGTTCTTGAAGCAGTATTCCAATGATCTGAGTAACATTTCAATCAGCCAGCTTAAAATGGTTGTTAAGTTAGCTGGGTCTGATGTTGGTATACTCGTCCATATTCTCGTTCGTCATCTGAAAATTACTGGTTCTACTTCCTTTGTTGAAACGTCACGTTTTCTATTTGAAAACATTGATTTTGAATGTTGTTTTGCAAAAAGAAGGTTTCATGGCATAACCATTGAATTGTGTGATATCCTTATGGAAAAATTTAATGAAGATTTCAAGTCTGCAATAACACTATTTATCTCAAAACCATTAGCAGAGGTAAACAGTAACGATGATAAGATTCACTACCCTGTTTTAGATGATGTACCTGTAAAGGAATTCCTTTGCTATGATATAGACACTTGTCTTGAGTTTCTTTCATCTTCAGATAAAGTAACCAACACTCATCACCTTTTTGATGCACTATACACATGGATGCATCTCTGGAAGGATAATGATCCTAAAACTGCTGTAAAATTTGAACCCGAAGAAGTTTTGGAGGAAATTATCAACATTAAAGAAGATCGATGTTGGAACAAAGCCTCTGTACAATATCTTAAAGCTTTAACAGCAGATAATTCGGTGAGTACTTCTAAGCTTCGGCAAGTATTCCTTGACTGTCAAGAATTATCGGGCAATGATAACCACTGGTATCTGTCAAGTAATGAGCAATTTCCATTCGAAAATGTCCTGACTGAGAATTTGAAGATAACCCTAGTTTCTGAAGAAAAGATATCATCTTGCAAGAAAGAAACAAAATGTGCCATTATGATGCAAACCACACCCATAAATTCCCAAGATGATGTCACATCATTTTCGCTCAAAGTGTTGCAAGAAAGAGAAGTTAAAGATAATGATGAAGTTCATTATCATGACGTGATAGAAGCACACCAAAGTGTTAGTTTTATAATACGTTTATCATCAGAAAATAAAAAGACACATGTTCTTCCTATTCCATTTAATATCAATCCGTCTTGGTCTGGATTTTGGCACTGGGGTTTCTTTTCCTTTAATAAATACGGTATTTGTGGTCTTGGTCCTATCTGCCATTATGTTTATTGTCAAGACAAGAATGCTAAGATAGTATTTAATGCTGTTGTCAGTGATAAATAAAGAGACCAGTAGTGGTTGTGCCAACAAAATGATTTCATTTTCGACGGAGTCCTTATGTTTCTTTAACTACACTCTACAGTCTACAGTAGGTCGAAAACTCACAGCTAATAGTATGAATTGTCCATACATTGTTAGTGTCAGCTCCAAAATATGATTTGGAGCATTTTCGACTAGTGTTGACTAACTCCTTTATGACATTGGGTCGTCTTAAATATGAGTAACCATTGTCTGGTACTTAGCGGCCAGTCCCAAAAATCATCATTGGCATCATGTCGGCTCCGTGGTCAAATGTTCATCAATTGCTCTTAAGATTTCCTGTTTAAAAATGTTTCGAATTGTAGTGTGTGTAGCTTACGTTGCAATTATCGAGCTCCCTTATCTTTTGTAACTTAGCGATAAGTTCAGTTTGCTGCTACCGCGTAGTTAGCCTTTGCGTGTGTAATTGTACATTATTATACAAGTACACCATGGAGGATGATCTGAATTTGACCCGATCTCAGAAGAAAATCAAGGATTTCAACTACGAAGAAAAGGAAGATGTAGAGGGCTGTACTGAAAGATGGTTCACTTCGATGGCAAGAGAACTGAAATTAGAAAACTTCGAAATTCGTGGAAATATGGACCAGGAAATACTCATGTCTCCGTCTATCTATAAAAGGTATATGGCAAACTGGGTTATGCAAGCAGCAGACCTCGTACGACGGCAGAGTAGTCAGATGAGCGCTATGATGGAAATCGTTGAGTGCCTCAAGACGGAAGCACTAGCAGACAAGGAAAAGATGGTCAGGTTGCAGGACCAGTTGCTAGTGCAGAAGGACGAACAACTACAGTTGTTTAAGACGTCAGTTGAAGAGACAGTACAAACAACGGTGGAGACAGGGATTAAGAGCTACAGTGCAGCTGTACAAAAGAACAGCACAAGTGGCGCGGTCTGCAACAGTAAAATTCTGAAGAATGTAATGAAGAGTGTGGCTGCAGAGGAGGACAGGAGCAAGAATCTGATAGTGTTTGGTCTGAAAGAAGAGGATGAAGAACAGCTACCAGCTCTGGTAACCGCACTATTGGAGGAGATCGGGGAGAAACCTCATTTTGAAGCAACTAGAGTCGGCTGGAAGAGGCCAGGTACGGCTATCCGACCAGTCAAGATCACCGTCCCAAGCTCAACAGCAGTTCATCAGATTCTGATGAAAACAGGGAGACTGAAGATGGCTGATGTACACAGAAATGTATGGATCTGTCCTGATAGATCCAGTGAAGAGCGTGCAGCAAGGAAGAACGTGGTAACTGACCTGAAGAAGAAGAGGGCTGAACAGACTCATCTCGACCACTACATCCGTAACGGGAAGGTCTGTAGCCGGGTTAAGAAGGCACCATGATGACGTAATTCATGTTTCTCGGACACCACCGATCAGTATAATATGTACTTGTAGGGGTATTTTAAGAGTTAACGGACGTTATCTGTATTTGAGAGACAATTATATTATATACATACATTATTATTTGATTGTTTCACACTTTTCACATTTCATAATTTTATTACTAGGTGGAGGTGATGTTATTGAGACTTTGGGCGGCCAAAAAACTCTTGTTCTGAAAGTTGTCCTCTGTACTTGTTTCACTGACCCACGCTTTTTAGCATTTATACATTTCGGCCCATTTTATATGTTTGTTCGAATTGCTGTACATTTGTATACTTGCTATTTTGTAAAAGTTTCAAATCAAAATCATTTATTGTTTGATATTTTTTGTGTACCCTGATTCGTAGTTTTTGAAAAGATTATCACAAATGTACGTTTTTAAAAAATTGGGACTTTTTAATCAATTAATCAGAGAGTAAAACACAAATGTATTATTTATGGCAATTTTTACTGAATAGTTCTTTGATCAATAACCCCATATTGTATGATTGTATGGGTGTTTATCTATAATCATTTTAATTTTCATTTCAAAGATTATTATTATTATATATGATATTTTAATAAGCAAAGATCAAATTTATATTTTTTGCATTGGGGACCATTAGACCTCAAGTTTTAATTTGTTATAAGTGTTCTATGTTGAATACCTAAGAAGCACAGAGCACTTAAAACCTTCCAGAAACCAGTTGTAATACTCAAGTTTGAATATCATCATTTACCAACTTTGTACAAAAAATTGTTTTCCTGTTCCATTATTCAATTATTTGTTGTAATAATTGCATTGTGATCGATCTGCTGAACCTGTCTGAACTGTATTGTTATTCCTGGTATCCAATCCCAACACTATCAAAATAATTTCATTGTTATACTAAACAGACTCTTGATATAATCAAACTTCAAAATAATATGTCAGTTCATAGTATTGATCAACTTCTTTTTAGGTGGGTAATATTCTGTAAAATGGCTCCAGAAGTGGTGGTACCAGCAAATTTTGGGAAGCACCACCTGAAGTCTCGCTCACACAGTAACCTGGAACTGTTGTGTGATGAAGGAGAGATAAAGCGAGCTAACTCCATGATACTGTCTCTAAACAGCCCTGTTATAGATGATCTGATCTCTAGACTTGACATTACTTCTCTGGACGTGCAGGACTTTGGAGCCCCTGCTGTGGGGTGTTTTGTTGAATCTATGTACAGTGGAGAACTGGAGAAGTGTGATAAGAGTAACTTTAGAGACCTGAATAAGATGGGACATGTTTTCAATGTGAGCTGGTTTACAGAGAGATGTTTGGAGTACTTTACGGAGCATGTTGATATGTTGACTGGGAGGTGTTATGAGGATGTTTTGTTTGTGGTAGAGGAGGCTAGGTTTGTTGAAGACAGTCAGAAGAAGGACAACTTTACTTGTTTAGTTGAAGATAAGCTGAACACGATGAGAAATAGGAAGAGTATCTTCTTGAAACAGTATGCTAATGATTTGGACAGAATTTCTATGAGTCAACTTAAGATGGTTATCAAATTAGCTGGATCTGATGTTGGAATTCTTGTGCCAATTCTTGTAACACACCTTCAGAATGTTGGTGCCTGCTCTTTATCTGAATCATCGAGGTACCTGTTCAGAAATATAGATTTTATGCAGAGTTTTACCAGCGAAAGGTACTTTAATATTACCAACAAGCTCTTTGAAATCCTAGCCGATAATTGCAATGATGATTTTAAGTCTGCAGTGAGTTGGATATCTTGCTTTGCCAAAAAAACCAATGAAAATAAAAATGATTTAGTTGTTTATCAATATCCAATTATGGTAGATCTGCCCATAGAAGACTTCCTTCAGCTTGACTGGGATTCTTTAGTCCATTTCTTGTCATTGTCAAAGAACATTTGCAACCTTTATCAGTGCTTTGATGCAATATTCTTGTGGTTACATATTTTAAACGGGGACCGCATCAGCGTTCCCAGGGTGGACTTTTCCATTGATCATGTGAAGGAAATTCTTGATATTAAACAGGATCGGTGTTGGGATAGAATGTCAAAAAAGTACCTAGAGGCTATTTCATGGAAAACCACTGTAGGTACTATCACGCTCGTTGACTTGCTTGTTGACTCTGATGATCTATCATGTACTGATGGTATTTTATTTAGTAGTGGGAGTAGTGAGCAAAACCTTACCATTGAGAGAATCTTTTCGGAAGATTATATGAAGATAACACTTGTGTCGGATAATAAAATCCCTTCTTGTGTAAAGGATGGAAAATGCGCGTTAATGTTACAGAGTACGTTCACAAAGAGTCTAGATAATGTTCTGTAAAACCTTGGTCTTACAACGATTCTTAACCCACATGTCAGTCTCAAACACATATAAAGGCGGATACTCCTATCGTGTAGTTCAATATTATTCCATGATGATATGATCAAACCAAATTGTTTTTCTAAAAAGTGGTTGACTCCTTGCTTTTTAAAAAAAACTTGAAAAAGCCAAACCGATGGAATTATAACCCAATAATACTTCCAGCTGAACACATCGGACCAGTAAACCAGGACCCTTCCAATATCAAGTGTGCATCCGTGTGGTGAGCAGATGAACACGATCGAGCACTTTCAGGACCCGTTAACATCAAGATCGCCCTGGGCCAGGTTGCAAAGAAACTGAAGGAACTGTATCCTGATCTCAAGGACGACGTTTTAGTGTTTTTTTCTTCTTCAATAATATAACATAAAAAAGTGAATAATCAGCATTGAAAACCTCAAATCATTGTTTAAATATTAGCATAATTAATATGTATTTTAAAACTGTGTAAGTTGAAATTGATAATGTGTTGTCAGCGATGAATGCAAAGTATGGAGAAAGTATTGAAAGTTCATCCAACTACGCTAACAGTACTCTTCTCTATCGTCTCAGTGGCATTGTGCAAGCGTGTAACAAGTCATGTAACCCTCAATGCAGACGTTTGATACCCACTGTGCAGTAACAAACACACAAACAAAGTCCACAACCAGAAGCTGGAAACATCAAACATTTGGAGCAGGTGGAGAGAAAGTAGAACAAACATCTGATTCAGCGGGAACTCTTCAGAGGACCACCACCTCCCCCCAACAAGCGCCGTTCTAAACCTCACAAGATTGAGAGAGAGGTTAGGCAGATTTTTTAAACAGCTTTTCTATTATAGATAACCTTTTCAATATCATATACTTTGTACATTAATACATGTATATTATATAATATACTAGAAACCCGCTAGTCGAAAGCATTTTCGGAGGAAATTTTAAAAAAAATCAGTTATGTTTTTTAATTTCTCTTCATCATATAGCTCTGTTTCTACTTTAGACCTTAATGGAATTTATCTAACAATGGTGACACGTTGTTAGTATTTCGGATTCCCAAAACGATACTTTTTACCGCATCACAAATACCAATCACAACCAAAGTTATGAATATAAGTACATACGTGAAGCGTAAATTTGACAGTTTATGAAATTATGACGTAGCATACAGCATAACAACGCGCGTATTAAGATGTTCTTGCTCGCGCAACGTGCATTTTAAACGTTGCTACTCAACAGCGCAAGTAAACTTCGCCTAAAATCACGACATTATTCTAACGGTTATTTACCTCACTTCCGACTTAATTATAAAAAATCTAAAGCCTAAAATCAAAATTCTAAGAATAGCTATAGCCTATTCGCTATCCTTTTTTCTACAACCCTGCTAAAATGGCGAGGTTTCAACTCCATTTGCGAGCCTGGGTTTGATTTCACCAGAGGGTCATTTTGAGGTCGATTTTCGTGTTTTTTCTTCTATGTCCCCGTTTGCCGGGGAAATTTCGTCAATTTTAAAATATAGTATAGATATTATAATTATACATAATAATATGTTTCCTTAACTTTTTATAATGCTGTTCTCAGATTTCTATGTGGAAATTTTATGTAGTTCTGAGAAATGTTTGCTAGCTTTTTTAAACTTCTTTACATTTTTTGTGAAGATTCTCAACTGTGATAGAACACCTAACAAATTATAATTCCCAAGGTTTTATCCATATTTGTATCAATGTAAAGTGTGTAATTTTTGGAACTTCTGAAAAAGTTCCTGATCGACAAACACTCTACGAAACAGCGGTAAAGCTCTCAAGTTTGTTTCACTTTCTTAAAGTTTTCCTTTTAAGAAATTTAAAAACCTTATATATTTTCATTCATAAAACAAGTTCATAAATTCTTAAAATTATATAAGTAACAATATCCACCAATAATCAATTAAATAAATATTTAATCATAAACCAGAGTCCCACCGAGCAATAAGTTACATGAAGAGAAGACACGGAAGAACTGTACAGAGTGGCCTGACGTTGGTAAATTGGAACATAAAGTGTCCGACTTAGGAGAAATAGGCCCTAATGCCAAGTAAGTCCAAACTCAGGAAACAAAGGCCTCCTCAAGAAGTAGCATGGGGACATGATTACTTGCCAGATCCTCAAGAAATGTCAATGAACAAGTAAAATAGCTGCCCACAAAATAGACTGGTAACATCTACAGAGGTGCATATGGTGTGAGGTAAATAACTGTTTAACTTCTACAAGGTGCAGTATGTTGAGAGTGAAATAACTGTTAACTTCTACAGAGGTATAACAGTATGGTTGTGAGTATATAACGTTTTTAACTTCTACAGAGGTGGCAAGTATGTTGTGAGTATATAACTGTTTAACATCTACATAGTACAGTATGATTGTGAGGAATATAACTGTTAAACATCTACAGAGGTACAGTATGTTTGTGGGTATAAAAATGTTAACTTCTAACCGAGGAACAGTATGTTGTGCGGTTTATACCCTGTTAACTTCTACAGAGGTACAGTATGTTGTGAGGTATATGAAACTGTTAACTTCTACAGAGGTACAGTATGTTGTGAGGTATATAACTGTTAACTTTCACAGAGGTACAGTATGTTGTGAGGTATAATAACTGTAACATCTACAGAGGTAACAGTATTAGTGAGGGGGGGGGGGTGGGGTATATAACTGTTAACTTCTACATAGGTCAGTCATTTAGTGAGGTATATAACTGTTAACTTCAACAGAGACAGTAAGTTGTGAGGTATATAACTGCTAACTTCTCAGAGGTACAGTATGTTTTGAGTATAAAACTGTAACTTCTACAGAGGTGCCGTATGTTGTGAGGTATATAACATTTAACTTCTACAGAGTACAGTATGTTAGTGAGGTATATAAACTGTTACTTCCACAGAAGTACAGTATGTAGTGAGGTAATACTGTTACTTCCTACAGATGGTGCCAGATATGTTGTGAGGAATATAACTGTTAACATCTACAAGGTACAGTATGGTTGTGAGGTATATAACTGTAAAACTACTCAGAGGTACAGATGTTGTGAGGTATATAACTATAACTTCTACAGAGGTACAGTCATGTTGTGAGGTATATAACAGTTAACTCTAACAGAGGTGCAGTAATGTTGTGAGGATATATACAGTTAACATCTACAGCGGTAATATGTTGTGAGGTATAATACTATAACATCTACAGAGGTACAGAATGTTGTGAGGTATATAACTGTTAACTTCTACAGAGGTACAGTATGTTAGATGAGGTATAAAACAGTTACCTTCTACAGAGGTACAGTATGTTGTGAGGTATATAACTGTTTAACTTCTACGAGGTACAGTATGTTGATGAGGTAATATAATCTGATAACTTCTACAAGGTACAGAGGTTGTTGAGGTATATAACTGCTAACTTCACAGAGGTACAGTAAGTTGTGAGGTATAATAACTGTTAACTTCTACAGAGGTGCAGTATGATGGTGAGGTTATATAACTGTTTCACTTCTACAGAGGTACAGTATGTTGTAGAGGTATATAAACTGATAACATCCACAAAGTACAGAAATGTTGTGAGGTATAAAACAGTCCACTTCTACAGAGGTACAGCGGTTTGTGAGTTATATAAACTGTTAACATCTACAGAGGTACAGTCAGTGTGAGGTATATAACTGTTAACTTCTAACAGAGTAACAGTAGTTGTGAGGTATCCACTGTTAACTCTACAAGGTACAGTATGTTTGAGGTATAGTAACTGTTAACTTTCACAAGGTACAGTATAGTTGTGAGGTAAATAACTGTTAACATCTACAGAGGTACAAGTATGTTGTGAGTATATAACTGTTAACTTCTACAGAGGTAATATAGTAGTGGAGGTATATAACTGCTAACTTCATCCAGAGGTACAGTAGTTGTGAGGTATAAAACTGTTATCTTCTACAGAGTACAGTATTGTGAGTAAAACCTGTTTAACTTCTACAGAGGTACAGTATGTTGGAGTTATAACTGTTAACTTCTACAGGAGGTACAGTTTTAAAATGTTGTGAGGTATATAACTGTTAACATCTACAGAGGTACAGTATGTATGTGAGTATATAACTGCTAACATCTACAGAGTGTACAGTATGTTGTGAGGTATATACTGTTAACTTCATACAGAGGTACAGTAATGTTTGTGAGGTATAAATAACTGTTAGTCATTCTACCGAGGTAACAGTATGTTGTGAGGTATATTACTGTTAACTTTCACATAGGTACAGTAAGTTTGTGAGGTATAAACTGTTAACATCTACGAGGTACAGTATGTTGTGAAGGTATATACCTGTAACTTCTACAAGGTATACAGTAAGTTGTGAGTTTATAACTGCTAACTTCTAACAGAGGTACAGAATGTTTAGTATATACTGTTACTTCTACAGAGGGACAGTAATGTTTGGGTAAATAACTGGTTACTTCCTACAGAGGTACAGAATGTTGTGAGGTATATAACTGTTTAACCTTCTACAGAGGTACAGTAATTGTGAGGTATAAAACTGTTATCTTTCTACAGAGGTTCAGTATGTTGTGGAGGTATATAACTGTTAACACTTCTACAGAGTGCAGTATGTTGTGAGTATATAACTGTTAACATCTACAGAGGTACAGTAATGTTGTGAGGTGAAATAACTGTTAACTTCTACAGAGGTACAGTATGTTGTGAGGTATATAACTGGTTAACATCTACAGAGGTACAGTATGTTGTGTGAGGTTATATAACGGTTTAACTTCTACAGAGGTACAGTATTTGTGAGGATATCACAGTTAACTTCTACAGAGTACAGAATGTTTTTGATGTATAAACTGTTAACTTCTACAGAGGTACAGTATGTTGTGAGGTATATAACTGCTAAATCAACAGAGGTGCAGTCATGTTTGAGGGTATATAACTTAATTAACTTCTACAGAGTCAGTAATGTTGTGAGTAATATAACTGTTAGACTTCTACAGAGTACAGTATGTTGTGAGTATATAAACTGTTAACTTCTAAACAGAGGTACAGTATGTTGTGAGGTATATAACTGTTTTAACTTCTACAGAGGTACAGTATGTTGTTGAGGTAAGTGAGCTTAGTTTTGCACTACGCCCTTCTCCTGGAGATACACAATCGAGGCATAAGCTTCACAAGGAGTCACATCTAGACTGCAGGGTGCACTCGAACAGGCTGTCCAAGGTATTTTACTTACGCGCTAATTCCTCGAACGTGATATTGTTTGTTTCATTTGTCAGAACCTATTAATATGGAGCTAGTTTACCTACACTACAGTATACCTAATACCTACAGCTCCCCCTCTAGTTTACATATTATACTAAT